TGTTATGGCTCATACCTTCCATATTCTTTTGATGTTTCCTTCAATATTCTATATGTTGCCCAAGTTGTTGTTGTTAAGTGCGATCAAGTTGATTCTGACTCCAAAACTGTATGGGATTTCCAAGGAGTGGTCTGTGGGTTTGAACCACTAACATGTGATTAGCAGTCCAGTGCTTATCCTACAGCACCACACCAGAACTCCATTTGTTGTTGTTAGATGCCATCGAGTCAGTACCGACTCATAGCGGCCCTATGTACAACAGAACTCCATAGAATCCTTTACTATTGCAACTCAAGGCTTACATTTTTCTTTCTGTTCTTTCTGCTTGAAAAATGCTGAGGAGTGTGTTTTTATTTTTGGTTTTGAGTTCTAAGTCTTTGCACATTTCATTATAATACTTGACTTTGTCTTCTTGAGCTGCCCTTTGAAAGGTACTGTTCAACTGTTTTACTTCATCATTTCTTCCAGTTGGTTTAAGCTTCTATATGCTTAAAAGCAAGTTTCAGTCTTGTCTAGCATCCATTTGGTCTTTTGTTTCTTTCTTGTCTAATAGTGATCTTTTGCTTTCCTCATGTATGATGTTCCTTTTTGATTATCTTGAATATTATGCAAGGAAGTAATGATGAAAACAAAGCAACACCAAACAAAAAGGAGAGCAGTAGCTATGAAAGATTGCTGTTATTATTAAGTGCCTTCAATTCAATTCTGAATCATAGTGATCCTATATAGCGTGTCCAAGGAGTAGCTAATGGGTTCGAACCACTGACCTTGTGGTTAGCAGTCCAGTGTTTATCCTTTGTCACAACACCAGGACATTAGCATATTCTCTTGCTGGCCACACATCTAGAGACAGACCCACCAGTGAGTCACATTTGTTCTGGGACCCTCAGAGAGTGATTTCTTTCCCCACCAGCTTGGCAGTGAGTTGGGGTGGGTCTGAGAGGTGTTGACCAACACGCTGTAAGCTAACAGGGAGTCTGAAATGTGTTCTACGAGATGTAAAGTTGGCATTTATGGGTCTGTGCCATTTTTCCACTTGCCATTAAATTAATTATAACTTACCTGTTGCTACTGAAAAATAACATACAATGCAATATTTGTAAGTAAGATGTTTTAAAGTAAAGTCTAGTGACGGAGTTTGAAAAGCCTACAAATAAATGCTCTGTAACATTTCTCATTTAATTGGAAAAAACACTTTTTATTTTTTATACAATATCCCTTTTGTTTTTCAAATTAGAAATGAATTTGGACCAAATCAGACACCAAATCACAGATATATGAGACAAGTATTTTTAATAAAATATTTTTCATCTTTGTTTTAAAACTAGATTAACAGCCAGTGTGGTGTGGCACAGTAGGATAAAGTATGGCACTGCAAGGTTGGTTTGAATTGCAAGGTCGGCGGTTCAAACCCACCAGCTGCTCCTCAGAAACCCCATACAGGGTTGCTATGAGTCAAACCGACTTGATGACACTTAACAATAACAACAACAGACAATGTTGTATTCAGATGAATAAATAAATAATTCAACTTATTCTTCTATCAGCCCTGTGAGGAAAGGAGTTTTTGTTTTATCTGGCACATAGTAAGTGATCAGTGTATAGCTGTGTGTGAATGGGTCTGATTTGATCCAAATTCATTTCTACTTTGAAGAACAAAAGAAATATTGCACAAAAAATAAAGTTTATTCAATTAAATAAGAAATGTTACACAGCATTCATTTTTGTAGAATTTTGAAACTCAACTAGTCACTAGACTTTATTGTTCCCTGTTGTACTTTTTTTTTTCCTTCCAACTTCTCTGCAGATAATCAATGTTTAAAGAAATATATATGAAAAGTATTTTGTATTAGCTTGGTTCACTGGGAATTCGAAGAGATTCGGATTTAGAATTTAAGCATGTACTAGGAAGGAGTCCTGGTGTGGCACTGCAGGATAATGGGCTGGACCACAAGGTCAGTGGGAGCCTCAAGATTGATGGTTCAAACTCACCAACTGCTCCTCAGAAACTCTATACAAGGTGTCTATGAATCGGAACAAACTCAACGGCACTGACAACAACTAGTATAAGTATGACTATAATTTGATAGTATTTTTCACCTTACATTGAATTTGTTGGCTTTTACTGCCTGCTTTTTATATGATATATCCTGTAGTTTGATTGCTTGCAATAGTGATAGTGAAGAAGCCGGTGCAACAAAGTTGGAGCTTCAGGGGTCCTTAAGTAAGCTAAACATACATCAAAAAGTATTGATACAAAATTACAGAAATTTTTATTTAATGAGAATATCAAAATGTGAAGCTATTGTTTCTCCACATATCCTCCTTCTACTCATATACACTTCTGAAAGCAGTATTTCCTACGCATACACACTGCTGAAAGCAGGTTTTCCATCTACACAGGGTCGCTTTGGGTCGCGATCGACTCGATGGCACTTAACAACAACAATTGTTGTTGTTGTTGTTGTTGTTGTTGTTAAGTGCCGTTGAGTCGGTTCCGACCCATAGCGACCCTGTACAGGGTTTCCGAGGGTGTAACAGTAAGTCCTGCAAAGCCGTTTGAACTGCAAGGTCGGCGGTTCAGGCTCACCAGCTGCTCCTTGACAACGCTATGGGTTGGAATCGACTCGACGGCATTTAACAAAACAGCAATAAATCCTGGTGTGGCGCTGTAGAATAAACACTAGACTGCTAACCTCAGGGTTGGCGGTGTAAATCCACCAGTTGTTCCTCGGAAACCCTATACAGGGCCGCTATACAGTGGAAACTGACTCGACGGTACTTAACAACAACAACAACAATCCTTCACTGATTAATTCTGTGCTTTTCAGCTTGCAACATATCAAACAGTAGTTTTGGCATCCTCAAGGAACTGAAATCATGTTCCTTATCAATGTTCTTTGAGCTCAGGGAACTAAAAGAAGTCTGAAGGATTTTCTTGGCAGGATCTTTACAGAAGCACACCCCCAAACCTTTCTTCCTTGGTCCTGCTCGTCAGTTCAAGTCGCTGCCTTTTAGGTCAGCAGTTGAGTACAAACTGACAACCGAGGGACTTTTCTCTGTAGGATGCAATGAAACAAATGATTCACAGTAGTGAAAGTCTTAATAATCCAAGTGGAAATGAAACATTTATAAATGATATTATTTTTCTGTTAGGTATTGGCACAAGAGATGGGACTGCAGAAACAGACAAGGACTTCAAGGGCAAAGCTCAGAAACAAGTGCAGTTCAACCCCGGCCAGAGCAGGGCCACATGGAGAGTGCGGATCATAAGTGACAGCAAGCACGAGCAGTCTGAGACCTTCCACGTGGCGCTTTCCGAGCCGGTGCTGGCTGCGCTGGAATTCCCCGCTGAGGCCACTGTGGAGATCATTGATCCCGGAGATGGTAAGCACTAGCTTCAACTTTTATTATGTTGTTACTACTGGGTTTTTAGAACGAAATACCTTCTAAAAGCAGTTTTAAATTCATTGTTTGGACTTTCTATGAAGAAAAGAAATAACAAGAACAAATCCACTGCCTTTGAGTCTATTCCAAATCATGGTGATGCCATGTGATAGCCTAGAACTGTGCTTTCTAGAATTTTCTTGACTGTAATCATTATGAAAGCAGATTGCCAGGTCTCTCTTCTGAGGTGTTGCTGGGGCGGTAGGTTTTAACAGCCATCCAGTCAGTTCCAACTCCTGGTGATCTCCTAGGACCAAGTAGAACTATCTCACCGGTTTTCTTAGGCTGTAAATCTTTACAGAAGCAGACTGCCACATGCTTCTCCTGTGAGGTGGTTGGTGTGTTCTAACCACTGACCTGTCTGGAGAGTGCTTTAACCACTGTGCCACCAGGGCTCCTTTCAAACCTTTAGGTTAGCCTTACTAATTAACAGTTCAATGTTACCAGCTAGGCTCATAGGAAGCGAGAACCCCCAAATTAATTAAGGGATGCGGCAGTTTTTTCACATAAATCAACTACCTGCTCGATTGTCAGTATGCTCTGTTTCTTACTATCACGCCATCCTTTAGTATCAATATTGTTCATGTCATTTTTTCTGGAATTAAGTCATTACTTTAAAAACCACGCCTTAAAAATTAGACTATTTTTAGATTACTGTGTTCCCCATATTACATGTTATCATTCAACTTTCCTACATACATGCATCAGCCAAAGTCTTTCATTTGACCATAGTCCCACCCCACCCACCCCACACTCCTTAGTGAACATAGTGTCTTGAATCAAGGCTCTTAATTTTTACAAGATTAAGCATTTGTCAGTGCACACCCTTGGCTGATGTTGGTAAAAGTAAACCTTGCTGCTCTTCTGTGTAATTTGACCTTTTCCCTCCTGCTGCTACAGTTCTATAGCCCTGGCTTGTCTCAAGGTAGACAGGGGGTGGGGGTGGGGGTTGATGGATTCTTTTGAAGTCCAGCATTTATACAAACCTTTAGAGGCTCTTTTAAAGCTGAAATCCAGTCAGGAGCCAGACATAGCTTTCTTTTTAACCGCCACCTTACTTTATTTTGTCAATCAGAAAACAAACTTCTGCAAAGATACAATCTACTGAGCACATGAAATGGAGACTTGCCAGCAAATCCCCGTGTTAAACACTGAGTGTAATGAGAGAGCAAGGATAAGAAAACTAGAACGCCAGCATCATTTCTTTAACATCTCTTCTTTTAGTTAAATTTGGTTATGCCTGTGATTTTCATTAAAGTACAGTTACAATTTAATTTAACGTTATCTGCATTATCAAAGAATAAATCATTCAACTTTTTCTAGCCCTGAGTTTTGGATAAATGCTTGTGTAATAAAGCTTTTCTCTGTTCAACAAGCCCATGACAATTTTAATAGTCATTATAAACTGGTACAGTTTCTTGATATTCCATTTGCCAGTTGGCATAATTAACATACTGTACTTTAAGGAATAAAACACTTAGATTCATTTCTGCCTTCCTATTTATAAGCCAGAATGACACTAAATATTTATAATCAAAATCTGGGCAGTGTAATATTAAAAAATGAAACACACGCACATACACACATGTCCTTATATAATTCAATCTTAATGTAAGCTATCTAAGCAAATAACACTACATAATATCATTTCATATAACGATCATTTAAGTGTTCTTAATGTTTTCTAGATGAAGTTCAGCCCCATCCATCCAAGGACATTATTATCCCTACACCTGGCTTTCCCATGTTGTGCTGAAAACTGACCTTGAAATTACAAGGACTGGGTTTAATTCTCAACTCTGTACCACTTCTAGTTTTCTGACCTTGATCAAATCAAATAGATTTTATTAAAATTTCATTTTCTAAAGTATAATACAAACGTTGTTGTTTCCTAATATCATGAATCTGATATTAAACTTCATTTTAAGAGACTCAATCATCCTTTATGCTTTCTACAAATGGTCCATGTCCTAACCATTTCAAAATTTTGATGTTTTATTTCTATACTCTCCCAACTCTGTACTTCCCTGTTTACCTGTTATAGGGAATCATTGTGTCCCCTCTGCATATGCATCCTAATCAATGTTATGAGATTTTTACATATATTAAAACTTGTCAAGCTCACACTTGTGCTAGATACACCATTATATATTAGGACTATAGCTATAATAGGATCTAGTTGCTTTTATCAAAGAGCATACAGTCTGATGGGAAAGAGTCTTATAAATAAATGATTAGTTACAATTAAGTAAGAAAACAGCTTTGTGGGAGCAGATAAAAGAACAACCAATTCTGCTTTATCTTAGGCTAGGAACTATTTTTATTTACTAGGTCACTGATATAAACATACACAAGTGCATATTTTCTCCAGACCTAATTTACCCATAATGGCACTGACAATGATAATAAAGTGTGGCACAGTAGGATAAACACCAGACTGCAAACCATGAGGTTAGACATTAAAACCCATCAATACAGGGTCACTATGAGTTGGAAATAACTCAACAACAACAACCTTCAATACTTGCCATGTGCCAGACAGCGTGCTTGTCATGTTGTGTACATTGTTCCATTCAGTCATTTCCCCTTACTACCTTCCACATGTGCCATTCTGTTCATTTTATTTGATGTTTATAGGAAATTCTCAATTTAAGCCAGTGATTACCCTACAGAGCACAAATCGAAACAACAGTGATACATCATTTCACTCCATCATTAATAGCAAAATTCATAAAAACAGAAAAGAGCGTGTACTTATGAGGGTGTTGAGAAACATCACAGGAGAAACTGGGAAATGGCACAACTATTCAATGTAAAGAAAACAAAAATCCTAACCACTGGACTAATAAACAACATTCTTATCAACGGAGAAAAGATTGAAGTTGTCAAGGGCTTCGTTCTTCTTGGATCAACTATCAACACTCATGGAAGCAGGAGTCAAGAAATCAAATGACGTATTGCATTAGACAAATCTGCTGCACAAGACCTTTTTAAAGTGTTGAAGAGCAAAGATGCCAGCTTGAGGACTAAGGTGCGCTTTACCCAAGCCATGGTATTTTCAATAACCTCATATGCATGCGAAAGCTGGACAGTGAATAAGGAAGACCGTAGAAGAATTGATGCTTTTGAGTTATGGTGTTGGAGGAGAATATTGAAAGTGCCATGGGCTGCCAAAAGAACCAATAGATCCATTTTGGAAGAAGTACAGCCAGAGTGCCCCTTGGAGGCCAAGATGGCCAAACTTCATCTCTCATACTTCAGACATATTGTTAGGAGGGACCAGTCACTGGAGAAGGATATCATGTTTGGTAGGGTGGAGGGTAAGAGAAAAAGAGGAAGACCCCCAACTAGATAGATTGGTCAAGTGACAGCATTGATGGACTAAAGCGTGGCAACAGTAGTGAGGTTGGCCCAGCATTAGGCAGTGTTTCGTTCTGCTGTGCATAAGGTCACTATGGGTTGGTACTGACTTGATGGCACCAAACAACAACTGTGGAAAACAGTATGGTACTTCCTTAAAAAGTTAGAAATAGGATTCCAGGACAAGATGACGATATAAGCAGATGTACTGAGCCAACCTTTTGCAAAAAAAAGTGGAAGATAGAACGAAACAGAAGCAGATGGTGATTCTGGAACCTTGAACATTAGAGGATGGGACAAAGAGGTGGACTGAGTACCAACTGGATGAAGAAAGTGTCCAGGAGCAGTGAGAGAGAAGAAAAATGTGTGGGCTGTGGGCTGGCATGTAACAGTGTGCCATCTTGAGCTTTTTTGATTGGAATCCTGGTAAGGCATTGTAGGATAAGCACTGGAATGCTAAACACAAGGTCAGTGATTCAAAGCCACCAGTCACTCCTTGGAAACCCTATACAGGATTGCTGTGATTCAGAACTGACTCCACAATGCTTAACAGCAACAACAACAACAGTTAATACAGCAGCCTGTCAACACAGTTGGAGATTGGTGGCAAGTAAGTGCAATTCTCCCTTGTTCCTGCGCTCTCCTGGTAGACAGGGGTGTGGTCAGTTCCCGCCCTCACCAATTCGTCAGCCAGTGGCACCCCCTCTTGAGAAGCTACCTGGCATCTGGCACCAAGTAGAGTGCCCTTGCTTCTGGAGGTGCATGAACCCACCCTAAACTATACTACATAAACAGTGAACTAACTGTATTCACACTCCCAGTCTCTACCACTTTCATCAGGAGATAGGTGGGGTGAGTGCCTAAGAACACACCAAAATACAATCACCAACTAAATATAAATACAACCCGTAGTGTCTCCAAGAAAAGAGACAACTTCCACTTATACACACTAAAAACACAACAACAACAACAAAGCAGGGTGCCTCAAATAAGTCACCAGAACACAGTCAGAAGTGTAACACCAAACAAAAATGATCTCATGTTGAAACTACTTGATAAGGAACTTAAAAGAATGCTAATTAGGCAACTTCAGTGGATTGTGAGAAAGATCACAGAAAACTACAGATGAAATATAAGAAAACATGGACAAAATTATGGAAAACTTCAAGAAACAAACTAACAAGGTAATTGAAAAAATGGAAACCATACAAAAACAGCAATTAGAAAGCCAGAATTGACACTAAGATTTCAGAAACAGATATTACACTGACGTGGCAAAGAAATAGAATTGAATCAATGGAAAGCTTAATTACTGAGCTTGAAGAAAAATCTCTCAATATTCATCTGCTATTGGGATGAAAACAAAACTCCTAACCACTGGACCAATAAATGATACTATAATTAATGGAGAAACGGTTGAAGTTGTCAAAGACTTTCATTTGTCTTGGATCCACCATCAACACTTATGAAAGCAGCAGTTAAGATATCAAACCACATGCTGCATTAGGAAAATCTGCTGCACAAGGTGTTTTTAAAAGTGTTCAAGACCAAAGATGCCTGTTTGAGGATTAAGGAAAGCC